CACCCCCCACAATATACAAGAGTAAGACTTTATTTTAAGCTATTGTGCAAACACCTCTATGTACACTATGCAAACACATGTAAATCAGGCCAAAAATATTTTTTGAAATAAAATTCATGAATTTTGTAGATGCTTGATTTTTAGAATATAATTTGGTATTTTTCTGGTTCCAAGATGGCAAACCCCTTTGCTGAAAGGAGTATTTCTGGGGGAAAGAGGAGGAACTTCTGGTGGCAGATGTGGAACTTTTGGTCACAAGATGGTGACCAGGGGCACCTGTCAAGGGGCGGAGCTACCCATGCAGCTCTCAAAAGTTTGTCAAAATTTGGCAAGCGGCCCTCCAGCTGAAATAATTGCCTGACTTACCCTCTCCCCTGGTGGTCCCAGCAGCTGTCTGGGATCCATTTGTGAATGCAGAACAAGTCAAATTGAGGAACCTGGGTATAGGGTGGTACATGTGGCTTCACAACACCACTCCCCCCTCCCACCTTTATGCAAGAGTGGCAGACTGGACATGTGAGAACAGGAATGTTTAAGCAAGTACTAAATGACTGAGCAGTAACTGGCATTACTGCACAGTCCCAATGCTGCATGGGTTTTTTCCCATGCTACTGTGCAGTAGCAATGAGCTACTGTGCAGTACGTCAACATTATGGTTTGTGTCTCCCAGTGCCACATTGCCATAACAGTGAGCTATAGTGATGTAGCTTGTCACTATGGCATAGCATAGCATCTCATGTAGATGCGCCCACTGCACAGTAATTTGCTTTAATCTCAAGTAAAATGTCTCATGTTCATGTGCCCATTGTGCACCAAAGCTGGGCACCAAGGCAACATGGATGGCTCAGAGCAGTCCGAAACATAGGCAGAGGGAGGAAAAATTATTTAGCAGGGCTGAGTGCATGTGCCCCACCACTCCAGCATGTGCCCCACCACTCCAGCAGGTAAGTCTGTGGGGGAAGGGCCGGGGGGGGAGGGTAAAGGACCAGGGGGCAGGGCAGGTAGATCAAGGCTTCAGTGGTGAGGGAGAAAGTGGGGCATAGGTAGGAGCAGGACCTGGGGTGAGTGGGGCCATGCCATGTGATGGCCTGGTGGAGGCCTGGGGGAAAGATGCCCCCTCCCCCACGATCAGTGCATGGGGCAGAGACAGCTGCCACTGCACACTGGGCTTTAAGCCCCATTGCCCCAGGAGCTACGCAGTGCCACGTGCATCCCCCCCCAGGTGGGCACGAGGCATGGCGCAGGTGCAGCAGGGAGCAAAGCCCAGTGCTCAGCGGCAGCTGCCTCCGCCCGCACACAGATCAGGAGGCATGTGTCCCCTGGGCCTCCACTTGTCCCACCACCTGCCCTACCTGGGGCCCCACTCATCCCAGCCCCTGCTCCTGCCTGTGTCCCTCTCCCTCTCTCATCACTGGGGCCTCGATCTGCCCCCCACAGTGGTGAGAGAGGGAGTGGAGCAGGGGCAGGCCCTGCACAGCTGGGGTGGGGTGCAGGATGGAGCTGTGAGTGGCTTGTCCAGGGTATACCCAGTGTGGGGAGGTGGTGGCAGCTACCACCACTGCACACACCCCAGGAAGGCATGGGGGGGCTTGTGCCCTAGATCTGTGCATGGGGTGAGGGCAGGCTGCTGCTGCGGGCTGGGGCTGGGCTCTTCCCTGTGGGGGGACTGGGCCGCACTCTGCTTGGGATGGACGATGGTGGTGCTGGGAGTGGGGCTACAGGTGGGGGGCTACGGCAATTTTTGGGTGGCTATAGCCCCCTCACATAGCCCTCCTCCTAGCACAGCTGCTGCCCACCCCAAGTGCAGCCTGGGCCAGCCCCCAGCTGCCGCCCTCCCCCCACTGGGAAGAGCCTGGCACAGCTCTGGTCGAAGCCCGCCTTGCCCCACACAGATCCTGGGCACATCTCCTCCATGCCCTCCTGGAGGGCATGTAGCAGCAGGAGCCACTCCCCCCCCTAAACAAGTTGCTTACGGCTCAGTCCTGTGCCCCACCCCAACTGTACAGCACCTGCCCCAGCCCCCCATGCTGCTCCCAGGCTGTCTCAGTGCTGCTGTGAACTATGTGTTACCTCATGGGCTGCACATGGGAGTGAGTGGGCAGGGCTGATTTCCCAGCCATGGTTTCAGGTCTGGTGGGGAAGTGGCATAGACATGGCTTGAGTCCTTTGGAGGGTAAAGCTTCCTCCCTTTGCAAAGCTGCAGTGCCCAGGAACCTTCCATGAACATTATCCTTTGTTTGCACCCAACCATAGGTGGCAGGAAGTGGAGACACTCTCCTCAAGGTAGAGCGGTGAGCCACCCAGGCTGACTCAGAAATACACTGAAGCATGCGCTTAACTTTGGAGGGGTAAAACGGAAGTAAGTAGGTGCTGAAGGGGTCAGGCCCAGTTTAAGGTGCATTAGAGTCTGGTGCTGAGGAACAGAAGGGGAGGGTCTTTTGAGCTCTACATGGAGGAAAACGGCTAGTTCCCTAAAGATAGATCACGCACCTGGGGCATCTGGAAGGCTGAGCAAACCTTGGCTGGGGTACATCTGTTAAAACAGTTCAACAGTAAAGGGAATTCTTCTGCTAGAGAGGCCCAGGCAGCTATGTCAGTCTGAAGTTAGGTGAAAGGCAGGGCAAGATGCACAGTCAAGCCTATGGTTCAGAGAGGCAAGAGCAGGGGTGGATCCAGGACAGGGTGTACTGGTGCACTTCCACCCCTTTTGACTCCTGGCCTACCCAAAGTTTAGAGCCAATTGGCAGTGGCAGCAGCATTTCTACTCAGGCAGTGCTGAGGGAGTAAATTGACTTCATAACTGATTATAATTGACCTGATCCCTACTAAACTTGTCATTCCCAGCTGTTAACAACTCTCTCTTCTTTTTAATGGCCTTATGTTCCACCAGTCAAACTATCTTTTGTTCTGCCATTCTGCTCTCTGTCCACTGCTCCTGGTTATGAAGCTCCTTTTCCATAGCCCTGCAGGTTGTTTTTAACTCATTCCAATGAAGTTACATTTGTTTTCACTTCAACCTTAACCTGCAT